CATAAAAAAGTCTATCAAAAACAGCTATAACATTTGCCGCACCAAAATCAGATTTGCCCAGTGATATATGTAGTATCTATATGTAACTCGTTTATAATTTCACACGAAATATGCGCGATATTTTTCAAATTTGTAAAACTTAATAACCAATTTGACCCCTTTCATCATCATCTATTTACATATAAAAATCATCGTGTATTCCAAGTTTTTTTTTCTTCCGCCACAGTTACTATCACAATACCAGAATATTTTATACATAAATATAAGGCATATAAGGCATAGAATATCGTGTTCACAATAAATAAATCAAACATCGATGTGACACGCAATGGCACATAGTAGGGTAGCATTCATGCAAACGATATGCAAATCGCATAAATCTATGCAATCAGAGCATATTCGTTAGAAGCATAGCTTTTATGCACGCATACAATGGTAAATTTTTGTTTAGTTATTAGATCAATTTATGAAAGTAATAAAAATTTGGGGAACATAACGTCTTATGCTATGGTTACAAGATGTTTTCAAACGGGGTAAATGGTAATATTATGGCAGGAAAAGGAAGAAAAATATGTAAATATATTTATCTATGCAAAAACTCCTAAGCAACCGTTTATGTACTTGTATATATGTATACGCATGTAGGTAGATAAGGGCATATTTATGCTAATGTTAATGAGGAAAATATGATTTATTGTTTATAGGAAAAAACAATCTTGGCAATGTCTATTTTCGAACTAATTCTAACTTCCGTCACTACTATACTGTTAAACAACATCTTTTTAACGTAATCAAACTTAACAACTTCCAAAATAAACATTGGCACGGTGGTTTTTTCCTATAAACAATAAAAAAATAAAATAGGTGAATACTTTCCTCATTCACAGAATATTAAACTTTAATTCGCATAAAAAACTGAAGTCCAATGGGTTGCAGTGATCATTTTTTTCGATATTGATAGTACTGGCCAACAAAATTTTGCGGCAGAAGTTGCGAGACCTCCTGATATCTGTAGGATTTTTAACGTAGATTAAGAAACGGTTCAAATTATTCAATAGTTTGCGAGATATTTGGGATGGAATGTATCAAACAACGTATTTTTCAAATTTTTTGCTATTATGTAGTAGTTTCTGAACAGCATGAAAACGCTCTCTGGAAGAGCAACTGAAAAGAGCACTAAACATTTTTGGATTATTAACTCCACTCCAACTTTAGTTCAGAACTAGAACGATGAATAAACATTTGGCAGTAAAACTGAGATCCTAAGCTTTTTTCCACCAAAAGCTCAACTGCAGTTAAGAGTTTAGGTTAGTTCCAAGAATTTTAACATAGGGTGCTCTTAGACTTGCGTTTGCTTGTACTTAATATGAGCTATTACCCCCTTGCAATCTCCTTTTTCCAATAATTATGAACTGCAGTTAATGCTTGGTGGAGATGAATTATAAGAGACCACTTAATACAAAATTTAAACTATGTAGTTAAAAAAAAAATGGAATTTTTGAAGACAAGTTTAAAGCAGCCGAATCGCTGAAGCCTATATCTAATGACGATGTTCCATACGTTCGGCATTGTTTTTTTTTTTTAGTTGAAAATTTTCATTAGCATTAAATCTTAAAAGTTGAGCAAACAAAATTTTTTCTTCAAACTATTCAACACTATTAGTCCCCTTTCAGACACGTCAAGTTTTGCTTTCAAGTCTGCTCGTTCGTTGGCGAAGGAGGTGGGAAGAGAGGGGAAGAGTACAGATACCTCCGTACCGTCAATTCGTTTCAAGTTTTCTTGTTCTCTTTTGATCTTTTCGTTGATTCCCATTTAAAGATCCAAGGACTTGAATTCAATAAAACTTGACGCGTGTGGAAGCAAAGAGAAAACACAAAAGTGAATGCGATAAAAATTGCTTTCAAGACTTGACGTGTCTAAAAGGGGACAAACACGACGCAACCGTTGAAGCAACGTGTTGAGGCGACCTGTTGTTCTTGCCCAATACACAGGGGCAACCGTAGAGGTAACCATTGCGGCAATCTCAGTAGGTAGCGTGCGCTATGTTTTGAAATGAAAGTACAGAAGACAATTTCGTTTGCACCTTTTAAACGAACAAAAACAAAAAAA